GGGAGAGGGCCCGGGAGTGCCGCACCCCGGGTCCGGCCGGGAGAGAGCCCGGGAGAGGGCCCGGGAGTGCCGCACCCCGGGTCCGGCCGGGAGAGGGCCCGGGAGTGCCGCACCCCGGGTCCGGCCGGGCAAACAGCAGCGCTGTTTCGTGAGGTGGGATTTTTGGGTCGGGTGGGATTTTCTCCTTCCCAGACACACCAGCTCACTGTGATTTAAGTGAACTTCTGCAAAGTACAGAAACAATTACTCGTGGTCAGACTACAAGGTTATGCATTCAGATTCTTCTATGCAGTGTATTCAGCCCACTCCCACTCTCTGCAATAAGTGGATGTTTTAAAAATTTAGTTCTTATCAAATTTTAATTAGCGATAATGGTTCATTTTGCCATATGGGTTCCTCAGCATCTCTTGAAGTTCCCTCTAAATACAGGCTGATTCCTTCTCAGCCCTTGTTTAAAATCCCATTACTCCAACAGACAGAGCAGGTCTCCTTGAAGTCGTGACCCAGTTCTCACATGGAGTCTTGGAAGTTATCCCTGAACTAGGATTTGTGTGGTTGCGTGTTCCTCCCTGCTTTTCTTTCCGATGATTTAAGGAGGTCAAAACAGCATGGGACTCATAATGAAATGACAGAAATAAACACTGTCTGCTCCCCGTGTCCATTCCCTTTGCCTCCAGCCATCCGGCTGGTGGAACAGCATCAGCCCAGGGTTTAACAGCACAAAGCTCAGTTCTGCTTTCTCACCAAGTTAGTGCCAGGCCCGGCTGCAGCAGCACCACTGACTGTCTTATTTAGAAGAGGAATTTGTATCTCACACAGGGTGGGATTTAGCTCTGCAAAGATTTACTCAGAACACTTTAATCCAGTGTCCCACCTTAGTGAAAATAGTCAGATGCCAAAAGCGAGGAATTCACACAAGGCCTGGTACTGCAGGGGAGCAAGCTTTTCCAAAAAGCTTGGTGATAGAAAACTGTAATACCCCAGCCACTAAAACATTATTCACCACACTAGTGAGGAATGGTTCCTCAAGCAATCCCCTCCTCTGGACTTTCCTTTTCCTCCTTCCATCACACGTTTCCATTTTTCCTTCCACTGCTGCTTCTCTATCTGCCTTACATTTAGCTCCTGCTATCTTGGAAGGGAGAAGGCTATCTGTAAAAAACAATGCAAGCTTGGGCCTGTACACAAAATGAAGGTCACTTAACAACATTAATTAATTCAGTATTATATATTAATTCAGTATTATATTATATCTGGGCACTGCTTCAGAGCCCAGACCAGGCATGCCCTGTCCCCACGGCAGCTCTCTGCCCTTTGAAACCCAAGTCACCCTCAGCCTGTGCAGGGAAATCAACAAAAACCAAACACCAGCACCAAGCTGGAGCTGAATCTGAAACCCTTTGTTGTTTCCACCTGGCTTGGGAACTTTTTCAGCAATATCTCATCAGGGACAATATTTCTTGTCCTCTGACACCACTGGGAAACAGAGTATTGATGTTAGCTAATGGAATATTTTAATCCTACCTGGCAGTAGTGTGTAGTTGGTAGTTTAATAATAAATGAAAAGCTTTTTTTTTTTTTCCTCTGAAGAACCAGATGCAATTTCTGTTCTGTTGATTGCATGGCGCATATATGTTTTAAAATTAATATATCCCAGGCTGCTTTCAAAAAAAATCAGTCCCAACTAACAATAAAAGAGAGGTTCTGGCCTTGCAATGGTAGTTTAATATGTCTCAAAACGAAATCTGCACTAAATATCCACTTTAGATTTGTATCTGCTGATAATTATTTCCAGTACTTCTCTTGCTTAATGAACTTAAATGCATCACTCCCATTATAATGTCACTATGGGCATTTTAGTTCAAATGTTTTCAATTTTTCATGTACTTGTAACCCATTGACTTCCAGAGATGAGTGGAAGCAACAATTTCAACAGTAACTTTGTCATTTGCTGCCTGGAGAGTTTTTTTTCTGTGCAACCATTATAGCTATCCACTATAACAGTCCTTCAAACACTTGGAAAAAATCCTTACACAGTCTGTGGTTTAGAACAGAAAG